AAAGACCATCTGACCTACTATATTTTTTTGTTCCAGTTGCGTTCGCGTTGAAGTAAGCGGTTTTGTTCAATGCAAGGACACTTGCTTTACCAAGGATGATGGCTATATGAACACAAGTTCTGATGATCGTTCTGACACGATCTTACAGCTAAGGTAACAAAGGTAAAACGAGTAAGATACCAGCTGTTTGCGTAGTATTTCGTTCTGTTTCGTTAAATTTCGTTAAGTTTCGTTAAGTTCCGTTTTGTTGTCGAGGGTTTGGTTTCGTTTTGTTTTGTTGGAAAAATAGCAATGGAATACTGTTTACTAACTGTTGTCTTGTTAGTCCTTCATATACAACTTACTACAACTAACAACTAACAGAAAATGACCATCGGGCATCCAGTCACATTTTTCAGTCACAGTATACTTATAATGTAGAACACAACATGGTACTGTTAAAACAAAGCAACATCACATACACACAAGACTATATATATTTTCGGAAAAACATACAAAACACTACTACATTATCTAACTACATGTACTGCACAAAAGTACAACCGAATCTGTACAAAAAGTTTAGGTACGAAAGTTTAAACTACTGAATATGTACAAAAAGTTGAAACACGAAAATTTAAACTAGTAACAGAAAATGACCATCGGAAATCCAGTCACCGTGATTTTTCAGTCACAATATCAGTCACAATACATTTACAATGTAGAACACAGCATGGTACTTTTAAAACAAGTAGCATCACAAGACTTTGTATTTTCGAAAAAAAAAAAGACATACAAAACAGTACACGACCAGACGCGCTTCTTTGCGCAGCAATTGTAGGAGATAGAAAGGGAGGTTAGCCTTCTGCGCTCGGCCCAGGAGACGTCGGTGCCATCCTTCCGTATCGTTGTTGGTCCTGATCGTTCGTCAGAAGATGGACCAACTCGATGGTGGCTGGAGGCGGCTGACGATCCACTGGCTGTCCACGTAGTCCATCAACTCCCGGAGTGCTGGAGTTGCGGCATTCCTCTGGAGTCGCAGGGACATCGGGACGACGTGTTCACTGGGCAGGAACGGCAGGGCAAGGACCTTGGTGGCGTCGTCGTGGATGTACGCCCTCTGGAGTCCCAAGTTCAAAAGGAAAGGCCCGTGTGATATTTGAACTTAGATGTATCAAGTTCTAACAGTTATCACACGGGTTTCCAAAAAGTTGTGTAGAATAATAACTTCATAAAAGGGATCCCATAAAAGTGTTCTTAATAATTGCACCGTTCGCATTACACCAGACGGGAGGTAAGAAATCAAGACGTATATTTTTTATAACTTGATCACACATACTTTAAACTTTATTCATTCAACCAACCTTGCAGTACACACATGCATTTGCATTGAACTGAATTGTGTTGATCTTACATTTTAAAATTTGGAAAACACTTAGAAGAATTGATAACATTTAACAATTAAAAAGATATCATATTACATCCCATTGCGATCATCATAACAGTATAAGTACGTCAACACATTAAAAGTTTTCTTTGTCAATAGTTAAAATCTTCTATCTGCGGATACAATGGACACAACAACGACAAAACAGAGGTACATATATACATACTGGCAATGTACATATTATGCCTTTCCTTGACATGACATACAGCGGCGTAGTGAATTGGTCTCATGTGCGTGCGTTTGTCGTGTCTTGAGAAGACCATTCATCATAAGCGGCTTTGCCACATTTCCTTGTTGAAAATGCTGTATTTGTTGTCGGGGTTATATACTACTACACCTGGGGTGATACGGAATGCCCTTGTAGTTGTTACTTGTTCATAATCAAAATCTTTAACAGTACGTAGAGACGGTGCGGTGTGTTTACTAGTATTCTGATATCTAAAGTCAAGGAGAATGTGGAGAAGCTATTGCGCCGACGTTGTAAGAGGAAAAACCTAAGCCGTCTGCATAAAGTTTGCTTGGTGGCCTATGACGCTACCGAGATAGCGCTGAGCTCTCGCCGGTCTGTCTGCCAGGCGGCGTAATGTAACCCAAAGACGCTTCCCACGCAATGCATTACGGTATAGCTTGGGTAAGAAAATCCGCCATATTGTTCCCCAAACTACCACAGGCACGGAGTGAAGTTTATAGCGGAAATGTAGTCTTATTTCTCAAATACTAAGTAATGGCATGTGGGATATTTGATGTCATATGAACGGTATTTAGTGAGAAAACACACAGGGAAAGGTGTAACAGTATAGCATTCGCTTATGTAAAGTAAAGGGCGTCGGCTTTGTTGACGATTTTTGCTGTGTTTGTGTGAAAACGCCAAATTTGTGGCAATTAAGCTTTATTAAGAAATATTAACAGAAAGCAAAATTTGTTCGCAAAGACCAAGCAGATTAGTATGTGTTACGTAGTTTCTTAGCAGTCTTGCTTCAGATCACAGCAAGCGGGGCACACGGGGCGCCGGTTGTCATGATGTCCGTATTTTGAATGGATGTTAACATAATTGTGAATACTTGATACTTTATTTGGATATCCATTAGTTGCACAAATTTATATAAAAAGTTGGTTAATGTAAGTTGGCTCGACTGAGTTCCTGTTAGTAACGTTAGTTGTTATATCGCCTTAGTAAAGTTACAAGTCACTGTTAGTAATACATGTATCCAAATTTTCTTACACGAAATGAATTCATTTCACAACAAAAAAGTCCAAGCAAAGCAAACGTGAGTTCTTCTGATTAATTAAAGTTGTCAGTAACCATAGTTGACAGAACGAGCCAGCACAACTGAAGTTCACAGCCATCATTTCAACTAGAACACAGGAATAACGAACGACTTTTAACGAAGTCCTTTTTAACCTCCTTGATACAAGCGGCGGCTCAGCAAAGTGTATAACTTGAGTCCGTACAACTTCAATTTGTTATCACGAATAATAATGACAACAATGAGAAGTTTATTGCAAATTCGTGCCCGGGGGCTAATTGCAAATTACAAACATAAAAGAACAATGAAACAGAGTATAAAATAACTAAAATCTACATGATAAAGGGTAGTTGTCTAAAGCTATAGCTATGTCTAAAACTATGTCTAAGGGGGTTGACTTCTCCTTTTTAGACCATGGAAGACAATAATATCCGACAATCTCCTTGGTAGAACATAGGGGGTTGAAAGAAAGACCGACTTTAAATTTTTCTCAGTGCTCATTGGCTGCTCAGTTGATTGAATTCTTCGGTCCGGAAGCCGACCAGACTCCGGGGCGCCGACGGCGACGTCTTCAAAGGTAACCGTCTGTCAATCAAATACGTGCAGCGTGGGAATGGTGAATTCCTCGTAAACAAGAAAGGAAAAAGAGACTTTCCCAAAGCATTTCCCCTAGAACCTCCTTGCCCAAAGCAAACTACTAGTATCACATAATCTGTCTTTATTCAGGAACAAACAGTACCAATATTAAAGCCAAACGCATTAAATAATCTATAATTCTGTTCCATTCAGGACCAAATAGTATCAATATTAAACCTCGTTATTTTTTTGTCAGCGTTCATGATCAAATCGTAGCTTCACCAAATTCAGTTGCAATTTCGAGCGTCGCAGAAAATTATCAACGGCGGCCGCCGACTTCGACTCTCTAGACACGGTCATTGACCATTGTGACTTTAATAATGTACGTTTTTCTGGCAAAATGTCTGCCAGTACTTCCCGCCGCCGTGAAATCACGGGGTACGCACTAGGAATTAGCGGGGGGACCGCGTCGTGTGTGTACATCGTGCGGAGTTGAAGAATTGCACAGTTCCCGCCGCCGTGAAATCACTTGCGGGATACGCACTAGGAATTAGCGGGGGGACAGCGTGTAGCGAGCCTGGTGTAGCGGACCGTCTGTTGATGTGGGTGTGTGTACAACATAAGAGTTGAACATAAGGCAGATCGTAGATAAAATAGCTAAAAATAGATAAGTCAGGCGTGCTACGTGAGACATCGTCTGAATTTCAAAGACACTACTGCCGTAACTTTGGTAGTAAAAGCGGCGCCGTCGGAAAATTATCGTCCGACCATGATACACGTGCGGCGAAATATTAGCACGACGCTGTCGGCGGTCGCCCAGGTTCCGATGGGCCGGTAGTGCGGCAACCTTGCACCCGCAGTTTTGACCCGCGTACCAAACTTACCGAGGCACGTACGAAATTTTCTGGCGGCGTATGAAACTGCCCCGCACTCAGACAGGTTCCGTACGCACGGCCGATAATTTCATACGTTCCGGTGGGTTGCCAAACCGTCGGAAAATTATCGTCCGACGATGATGTACGTGCGGCGAAATATTAGCACAACGCGCCCCAAAATGCGTGTCTACCCGGCTCTTAGTGAGGAAATACACATGCGGGTAAATTTGGGACGCCTCGAGGAAATGCACGCAACGGTAGTTAGTCAGGCTCGGTCCGGCATTACGGCGTTCTGCCCTCCACTTTTGCGCCCACAAGATGCGTGTTTACTCGGTTTGTTGTGAGGAATTCCACGGGCGTGCAAGGTCAACGCAGCGCGAGGACATACACGCGTGCGAACTCAGCACAGCCTGAGGAACAACACGCGTGCAAACAATCGCGGAAATGAGTATCGGCACGCGTGCAAACCGACGTAAGTTGAGTAACCTCACGTCGTGCAAGCCCTCATATTCGGGTCCCAGTATATACCTGATGATAGGAGCCATGAAGTCAACACACCAGGCTGGTTCAAAATTTAAACAATGAATTTTTAACTTTTAATGATACAATTGCATTGAAAGATGGAATAACTGTAAGTTAACAACTAGGATGAAAAGGACTGTTTTCAACTGTTCAGGGCAAAATATGAGCATTTTGCAGTTGATTCTGAATTTTTATTTTTATTTGCAAATCAGAAAAAAATGAAGCGGGCGAATCCGTTAACCAAGAAATTAAATTGGTGTGGCCTTAGAGGGAATACAGTCAAACCTGTATGTAGCTGGACAACATCGCTAGTTTTTGCTTGCTACCTTCTAACTTCTTTTCCTTTTGTTTCAGCTGAGGGAGCGGCTGGGCAGTTTGCAGCCGATGCTGTGACGAAAGGCCTGAAGGGCGAGTAAAAATGGCAGGATGTCACGCAGTTTTGTCCCTTTGTAAAGAAGCCATGTGTTACTGTGGTCATGACCTGTTAGTGTTACCTTTCACTGTTTGTTGTACTTGTAGCAAGTGATAATGTCTGCTGATGAAGATTTGCAACATTGAAGAAGTCCCAAAATGTTACATGGATGCCTGTATCAATAAGCACGTCGGCAGAACGTACTACACCTCCGCGAAACCCGTAATGTATTGTACATAGCACTTTGGCAAAACGTCTCATATAAGGAAAACATCTCGTCTGTAGTTTCCAAATGTTATGTCGGAAAAGATGTCCTCTGCAACAGGCAAAATTCTAATGCAACGTTGACCAAAAATCCATCGAAAACCGTGAAAATACAGGGTTCTGCGCAGGCGCAGTACGTTCTGCTGACGTGCTGTATCAATATGATGTAAGACAGCTGCAGTCGTTAATGTGGCAAATGGTCTCCCATTTGTTTCTTGTGAAGCCTCTAAACATCTGTATAAATCCTTGCTGAAAATCTGCTTGTCTGTATTTGATACAAGTGCTATCCCTGTGTCATTTTGTGTGTGGCTGTTGTGGCAAGTGGTTGAGCCAAACCAGTGCTGTTTCTTGGCCTGTATAGAATGTAAGAGGAACTTGAAAACTCTAACTGTATTGTGGTGGATAGATTCAGCAGTTACATGTATCAACACGTTTACTAAACCTATGGCTCTCACAGGTAACACCAAGAAACAATTAAGTTTGTTGGGATGGATTTGGTTCAGTACAACTGTGCACATGTAGTGATGCATACCGGTTCACTGGACTTGGATCCGGACTTGTAAGAATGTTTAGGTTCAAGTCCAAAAAAACCTAAAAGTCAAGAACCGAGTCCGGACTTATTACCATAAAAGACCATTTCACATACCCCTTTTCTTTCCAAACCACCTAAAACCTTCCGTAGATTGTAAAATGCTTTGCTGCGAAACGAAGAAAACATTGCCATCGGGCATCGTCAAGTACTGACCTCCATGTTATGTGGCCAAAGTTTCACCCAGACAACATTGTGAGGTTGCCAACATGCAATTTTGTATATGCCATGGGTTTAGGTCCGGACTTGAACCTAAACCTCTGGACTTGAATCCGGACCTGAACCTAAAATTGGGTTTAGGTATGCATCACTATGTAAGAGGTCTGTCACTGACTGTCTACATCAGCATGTAACCAGGCTGTTTTGTAAAAGGACATGATTGTGCTGCCTTTAATTTTTGTCTATTGTGGTGAAATATGCAAGACTTCCCCGTCCCAGATGTTAGTGAGTGTGGGAGAGTATTTCTGTTAGGACAAGGTGATTTCCTCTGGGCAACTTGTGCAATGTGAACATGAATGCATTAGTTTAGATTATCAAAATTTGTAAAAATGGGTACCAACCCGGGTTGGCTTTTACTAGCTCAGGTAGCTATTGTAAACTACATCTAGATTGGTATCCAGGCTAAACCTTTGTCAAAAGCAATGCAAACCAATGTTCTGGCAGCCTCTGGTCTCTATACCTTTGACCTGTAGCCTTCAAGCAAGATTGTCTACTAGTGACAATACTTTTAGCAGGTGTGTTACGCCGAAGGGCGTTATACCAGCTATACCTAAGAGCATGTATGGTAATCAGTCTCAATGGACCAAAACTGGTGTTAAACAAATTTGTGGGCTTTAGCTGGGTTGAAATAGCCTGGGTACCAACCGGATTTTTGCTACACAACGCTCGAAAATTTTTTTTTGAGCATTGCGTAGCGAAAATCCGGATGGTACCCAGGCAAGGGTTGAAAGACTATAGGTCAAAGGTTTTGAAACCTGAAGGCACAATATTAATGTTCAGATGGCTTTAGATACACGTACTGTATGTACTGTCTTAAATAGACTAATTAGGTATACTTATCTGCTTGCTAGTCTGGTCATGTGAAAAACTTGGTCATTTCTTAATGTTTTGTCAAATCCACATTTTTCCTGCACAATTCACAAAGCAGATTCAAAGTTGCCATCTAGAAAGAATGCTTGTTGAGGGGCACATTTTTTTACAATTGCATTTCATAAAAGTAACTTAGAGGGAACAGTTTTCTTAGCAATCCCATGTAGATTTCTCAAAAAGTACATGTACCATGTATTTATTCCATAGCTAATAATACATTTTCTGTCATACTCCCTGTCCACTAGGCTTTTTTGTTTCCATTCAGATGACCTTGGAAGTGTAAGACTTGTGAGAACTTGCCAATCTTCCTTCCCATTTTATTGTACATGTACACATTTTGGTTTTGGAGTACAGTTCGGTTTACGCACATATTTGTAGTAGCTTATTGGTAGACTTTAGAGGAACAGGACACTTGCCAGTAGCTATACCAGCGCACACACACAGACCTTAGTTGTGGTGGCTGTAGACCTTTGCTGTGGTTTCTCATGTATAACTATACCTCTTTTAACTTCCATTCTTCCTACTGGTGTGTTTATAGGTTAGCCTCAAAAAACTCCCCTTATAGGCATAATTTGCGCACTTCTCTTTGCTGACTTGTTGCACTGTAAACGCTTATTGTATAGCATATAGATCCTTAGGTTTAAAGGTGGGAACCAGGGGTGAATGTTTGTTATTAGCTGTTCCTATTCCAGTATCCTTACATGTCTCAACTCCAAAATTTTTTCTTTCAAAACCTGCCCTGCCAGAATCTGTGCTTGCTGTGTTTCCATCTCTTCACATTGCAGTTAATAACGTTTTCTAGGACGTAGCAGTCCTTAAGATGTAACTGTCCTACCCCAGAAGATATTGGTGTAACCAAGATATAGTGTGGAATTCTGTAGATTTGATTATCAATAAAGAAGTGGTTGTAGTGTACACTGATTTTCTTCCTGTCATATTATTTGAGTCGTACCTGCTGACTTTTGTGTAAGGCCACACCAATTTAATTTCTTGGTTAACGGATTCGCCTGCTTCATTTTTTTTTAATTTGAAAGTCAAAATTCAGAATCAACTGCAAAATGCTCATATTTTGCCCTGAACAGTTGAAAACAGTCCTTTTCTTCCTAGTTGTTACAGTTATTCCATCTTTCAATGCAGTGGCATCATTAAATGTTCAAAATTCATTGTTTAATAAATTTTGAACCAGACTGGTGTGTTGACTTTATGGCTCCTATCATACCATTTTGGGCCATAATAGGATGCCTAGGCCTGTTTTTTTTTTTCGCCCGCCCGCTCCATTATTTTTCTACAAAAATCCATTAACCAAGAAATTAAATTGTTGTGGCCTTAGAAAACAAAAACATGTTTTGTATGATCTGTGTTTTATCTCTGACAAACCCTAGCAACGTACCAAGGCAAAAACCTTACGTGAAAACCCAACTTACCAACTTTCTACTTTTTCCATCATCTTTATTAAGGAGATTAGAATTTCAGAAAAAATGGTTTGCTAGGTAAATAACTCTAAATGTTACTGAAGGGTGTTATAATACTTATTTTGTGTATGCAAAAGGCTTACATGTACATTGTATTACATGTAGGATTCTAACCAGTTGAACTAGCATTTCTCAATACACCGTCTTGTATGTTGCAACAGAAGTAACTAACACTTCATCAGGCAGAAAGTGAGAGGTCAACAACAGAAAATATAGCAAAAATAAATGTTAAATGGATGAAATATGGACCAATTTGTTGTACATTACATACTACTTGTATATGAAGGTGAACAATAAGTTTGTCTCTTGGACAGACTTCTTGTGTTGAAAGTTACATGGAGTTTTGTACACTTCAAGTTCACTGGACCTCTCTTACAAAGTCTGACAAAATAAGAGAAATGTGCGCATAGCCTTTAGACTACCGGTTACGTTAATTTTATCAAGATGTTCTCAAGAAACTCTACTTACAAAGTGAAAACAGTGTCTTTAAGACCGTGTGATAAGGACATAACTATGACAATGGTTATGGTAACTATGATGACCCCTTTTCTTGCTTCTCCTTTTCCTTCTTCTCCTGCTCTGCTGCTGCCAGCTCCTCCTCGTGTTTCTTGATGAGTTCCTCCACCTGTTTGCTCGGCAGCACCTGCACTTTGGTTTTGTTGTTCTCTCTGGTCAACGTCGCTAACTCCACTGTTGAAAAATTCATGGAAATCATTGATTTAAAGGACAAATCCAATACTTTCAGTTTTGGGGCCTTTCCACCCAAAATCCTACTTGTAAATGGTGATTTATTGGTTTCTGCCAACCCCGCACATATTTGTGGTGATATCTGACATGCTCGATGTTCCCCGGCTAGCGCCTGATTGTCCGGTAGGCGGCGCTGCGACTGGACCTGTGACGTCACCACCGGTTATATTCTGCTGCAGGACCACACCAACAGCCACAACTCGCACAACTTGCAGCGAGCTACGTACTGGCAGACAGACTGAAAAATGGCGCGTGCTCCAAATCTAAATCTGTTCCAATATAACTGGTGGTGACGTCACAGGTCCAGTCGCAGTGCCGCCTACCGGACAATCGGGCGCTAGCCGGGGAACATCGAGCATGCCAGATATCACCGCAAATATGTGCGGGGTTGGCAGAAACCAATAAATCACCATTTACAAATAGGATTTTGGGTGGAAAGGCCCCAAAACTGAAAGTATTGGATTTGTCCTTTAACACTCCTATCTCAACACAAACATTCAGTTGACTGACATTGCCTGTCTGACTATCCTGTGAATTCTTCAACATGCTCAAGCTGTGGCTCTCAACGGGGGAAAGAGATGCGTATGTACATGTACGTGGACTTTCTCCTATATCACAATATTTCTGCAGGGTTCTCCCCCAGAAAATTTTAGTATGAGGGAGGAAACTTACCGAGCACACACTAAGCGACGCGCAACGCACGTCGCCGGGGGGGTGTCCGGAGGGGG